GTGCGAATCCTCATACAAGTAAACACAAGGGGATGAAGAGCGTTCTCCAGTCTCCGGCCTACGTGAAGGAGGCCGTGGGCAGGGAATGGGTGGGACAGAAGGCTGCGGACTCAGCTCGGAGCAGCCCCGGGACCATGTCCGCCTCGCTGGCCCGCTCCCCCTCCTCTTCCTCCTGTGCGAGTCTGTCGGTGCCTCCTCCCTCACCTGGAACAGCGGCCCTTCCTGCTCTCTGCAGCTCGGAGAGGAGAGCTCAAGGCCAAGGCCACGCTAAAGCTACTCCTGGAGCATCTCCGGGCCCTTGGGAAGACTGGAGTGACCCGTGAGTGGGCCTGAGGGACTCGGGGTTACCCCCAAGTGCACTTCATTTACACAGCAGAAACCCTCAGTCTACAGACCGCTCCCCGCCGTCGCCAGGTCGCTTTGTATCTGCGCTCCCAGCACAGTGGTATCTTATGTGGCCTGATTTGCAAACATCAGACTTTCAAACATCATTTACACATTTTCCGTAACTCTTGGCCACCTATAAATTATTTACTTACAATAAATATATGGTTTTTTCTTAAATGCATGTTTTTAAGACTTAGATATATACATTTTCAACTCAACTCTGAAATACTTATTTTAAAGACAGCATCACTTGCTCCAAATAGAAGGTATCCTTAAAAAACATGCCATTTTTTTTTAAAAAAGTAGTATTACATTCTAGATAAAAACTGCCTTCTGCAAAGACTTTGGAGCTGAGGTCTGCTTTCTCTTTGTTAAAAAGGAGGATGAGCTAGTGTTACAGAGGCGTTGAAAATGGACCAGGGCCACATGCACAATATGAAGAGAATTAAAGCTGGCACCGCTTCTGTACTCAAGCGATTCTTTAATGCCGTGGCCTTTGACCACAGGTGTCCTAACCCACATTTTGAAAGCCGATGTGATAAAAGGCACACGGAACAGATGGGCAGACTGGGCTGGAGCTCCATTTTCCAGCACCTAAAATTGTGTCATTTAACAAGTCACCTCCCGCCAGCAATTGTCACCTGCCCAGTCTCCTTTCCTTATTCACAAAACGAAGAAGGCTGGACTTGCCCAAATATTTTGCCTTTATCCACACAAATGACGTTCACTGCCACAAAATGTTTACAGCCCAGTGTGGCCCTAAGGACATCCGCGGCCCTCGTGAGGTACCATCCCCCCCGGCCCTCTTCCCTCTCAAAGTGACAGTGAGTCCAATATCTATCTTCTTTATTTCAAGACTTATTTAATAGGAGTAAAGGTGAGCGCGACTCACAGTACTTGTACATCTGGGCTTCCAAGCAGCCCCACCCCCACGCCGCCGAGGGCTGGCTCCGCGGCGGTTCCCCCGAGGCCCACTAGAGGGCGCGCACACTGTGCTCTTCCTGGCGCCGTTCTGGGGTGCTCAGGCCAGGCCAGGCCGTGGGGTCCCCCAGACCCGGGGAGGGCTGGTCCCAGACCATCCAGTCAGCGCAGGGAGGCGCGTGAGCCCCCGTCCGTCACTCTGCCCACTCATCCTAAACCACAACAATTTCGTCTCTGTTTCCAGCATTTGACATTTTGGAAGAAATAAGATCCAAGTTTGATGTTGAAAAGAAAGCATTGATGTGTGGTGAGAGAGAGGGTTTCTCCTCTGCCCGCCCCCCGACTGGGGCAAAGTGCTCCTCTGCAGGAGAGGGAAGCTTTAAAGCTTTCCGGGGAGCGACAGCGTCCTCCTGAGGGGGCCTCGGTCCTCTCCTTCCTCAGCCTGTCGAGTTTCCTTCCCAGTTGTACGTCTGACATCCTCGAGCTCCTCGCCTCCCTGCACAACCCCAGATCCAGGAGAAACTCCCAAGGGTGCCCCACGCTCTGCCTGAGAGCCGTGGGCTGCGCCCTCTGCTTGGTTCAGGGGCTCCTTCCTCACTCCCAGTCTCCACTCTGAACTTTCCATGGAGGTCAGAGAAGCCAGTGCGGAAATAAACTGCGAATGTGCCCTTCTGCACCCCAACGTGAGGTAGCGTTTAACTAGAGCTCTCCCGGGAACAAAGGCAAGATATGAGGCAAGAAGGGGGGATCACGCCTTGTTACCCCTTTCTGTGAACCTCAACCAGCCTGCTCTTTTTTACTTCTTTAAGAAGCCTTCTGAAACTGCACCTTTATGCAAATCCGCGACTCAAGTAGAAGGCTTCGGGGAGAGTTATTTATATCGCACAGGCATCACGCACGCCAAAGGTGAGGCTGTGAAGATCAGCTCCAGGCGGGCGCGCTCAGAGATCCTTCCCAAGCGGGCGGGCGACTGCATAACCATCCCAGAAGTTCAGAGTGACCCTGGCTATTTCTCTCCAGCGGGATTTCCTGACCGGAGCTTTTCCTAGGCAACAGATTTACTGCCGCCTTGGACTCCAGTAATAGGTGCCTTCATTGCTTTCGCTCCTAACCTGGTACAGCGCGTGGTCATTAAAAGGTAACAGTGTGGTACATTTATTGCCCTTTCGCTTCCCTATTGACTCCTGGAATTTGCAAAGAAAATGGATATTTCTCCAGGAATTATTGCCCTGTTCTGCGGCTGGCTCCCCTCCCCAACAATACAGACCATTCTCCAAATTGAAATACACGTTAATCACTTCAGGAAATTGCTTCCCCGATGGAAACTGAGAGCTCACGCCGGAATGTTTCCACCGCACAGCTGATGACAATTAAGACTCGGTGAAATCTCAGTTTTCTTTGATTGTGGCATAAAAACTAGGACATAAATTAAAACCCAATTATCCTTTAAGGGTAATTGGTGTTATAAAAGAGAGTCATGTCGATACTGCGGGAGGGCAGTGTCTGAGGGAACGGCGTGCATTCTGTCCCAGAGTGGCCCTTCGGATGGAAAGGCTGAGAGTCAGGGACGTTGCCATCAGCAACAGGGAGACACACCTGGAGAAGAGCAGTGAGCCCTGCAACATCTTGGGACGGTCGTGCCTCCTAAAACTACACTGGGCAGGAGGGGCGAGGTGCCAGCGGGTCTGTGAAGGTGCTTGGCGACTTGGGGACGCAGAGGGGGACCCAGCCCCAGGCTCAGCCATGCCTGACCCCCTGGAGGGAAGCCCTGCCCCTCCTCCCCAGAGCGAGGCCTGGGCAGACCAGCTCTAGGGTCCCCTACACCCCACCGCCAGCGTCTGTCCAGGAAGGCCGGACTTCGCTTTCTTACAAAAGGCCCTAGCCCTGAAGACGCTGTGGGAGATGAACCCTCGGTACATGAAGCCATAAATCAAGCACAGGAGAGCTTGCTTGAGGATGCCTTGATTACTTTTAAGTACAGGGATCACCGCACATCTGCAGACGGCCACTGGGCCGCCTCTTCGTGATGTAGTTTTGTGTCTTTGGGTCAAATCCCAGCCTTGCACCTCAAGGCCTCTCATAACACAGTCCTTCCTCCCCTGACCCTGGGTTTTCAAAAAGGCCTCCTCTCCCCGCCTCATCTGCCAAGCTGCGGCTCCTTCCAGAGGTGCCCCGAATGTATTTTTTAAAGAGCGAGGCCCTCCTGTGCGACAGCAACGTCGCCCTGGCCGTCTCTCTTCCGCTTTACTCCTCTGCGTTTTTCTAGCGCTGAGTGCCCACAGCACCCAGTAGGAGCCTGTAAACATGATGCTGAATGTCTTGCACAGCGCGATTTCAGGTTTCTACTTTTCATTTCGGAAAGATCAGGGTTGCTGAGGATCCATTAACTGCACAGGCGATTTGCCCCAAACCAACCCCGCGCAAAGCCAAGCATCTCTTCCTTTGGGGGAACCCACCCTTACAAACACATTTCTGGCTTCAAGACAACAGCCTGACCAGGGTTTCCTGCAGACTCGGTTTTCGATGGACGCCTCAGTGTCACTGAGTCCCAGGGGAATCCTGAGTGCGATACCAGGCCAGGTCCCTGGAAGCCACAGCCGGGGAGATGCCCCAGTAAGCCCTAGGTCTGACCTGGGCTTTTGCAACCTTGTTTCATAATCCACTTTCTTATCTACCACCTCCCCAAACCACAGAGAGGCAGGTACGCCCAGTATCGACAGAGGGTCAGGACCCGATTCTCCATGGCAAAGGCAAATATATATTATAAATAGCAGAACAGCTGGCTTGGACCTCGCTGCCGGCCACTCACCCAGTTCGGGGATTTGAATGACATCATAGCCCTGTAGAGGGTATTGCTAGCCAGCTGGTGTTATTTAAAATACAAAAATAATTTTTTTGAAGAAAGAAAACATCACACACACACACACACACACACACACACACACACACACAGGTTCGAGCTATGTAGGAAAATCTGGGCAGTGAGAGAAGAGTCCGGCCCCTCAGGGACTCTCTCCTGGGGGACAGGGGGGACTCGTGAAGACAACTGCGTTTTCCAGTTTGTTTTACAGCTCAGCATATCCTTTGCCTCATTGCTGGCAAAAAGCTTGAGACAGTGTCCTAAAGCGAGCCAATCCAGCACCACCCGCCTCTCCTGTAGGTTTGAGGAAATGAGATCACTCCCCTCGCTTGACAATTAGGACAAGGGGTCACCCACGTGCTGCCTGCCAGCCTAATACACCCCGGTCATGCTGGGGTTAAAATTGTAGATTACCGGGGATGCTCTTGGCAACCTTTCTGCTGCTTTTTTTAAAAATTACATTGGTTCTAACATATAAAGTTGCTCCCCTACCCCCGTTCCTATTCCTTTAATTCTGCTAAGGTAGATGAACAGACGCGTGTCTTCATGGCTGCTGGAAAGTTAATCAATAAACACCCCTATTTTCTACGGCAGCAGAAGTATTTTAATGTCTGCTAACCCTGTCACTAACATGCATTCTTTTAAGGGGGAAAAAAAAATGCTTCTGTGCTCTAGTTTTAAAATGCAAAGGTATGATGTTATTTGTCACCATGCCCAAAAAAGTCCTTACTCGATAACTTTGCCAGAAGAGGGAGAGAGAGGGAAAGCAAATCTCCCCCCAGCTGTTTCCTGTCTACAGTGTCTGTGTTTTATAGATAAATGTGAGGATTTTCTCTAAATCCCTCTTCTGTTTGCTAAATCTCACTGTCACTGCTAAATTCAGAGCAGATAGAGCCTGCGCAATGGCATAAAGTCCTCAAAATTGAAATGTGACATTGCTCTCAACATCTCTCATCTCTCTGGATTTCTTTTTGCCTCATTATTGCTGCTAACCAATTCATTTTCAGACTTTTTACTTCAGAAGCAATGGGGAAAATCAGCAGTCTTCCAACTCAATTATTTAAGTGCTGCTTTTGTGATTTCTTGAAGGTAAATATTTCTTACTCTTTGAAGTCATGGGGGAATTTTATGTGCCTTGGATACTGTGTGCCTCTGCCTTAGGACTGTTATTCACTTGAGAATTTGCATTATTTCGGAACTAGGAGTTTAGGTCTAAATTGCTGAACGTGCAATTCCGTGGGATCTAACAAAATTGCTCCAGGAAATGGATGGATGTGCAGAAATATCTGTAGGAGTAGAAACTATTGTAAGGTACTTCTGCTAAATCCTCCCCACTTCTGCAGGGTTCCGGTGGTGTCACTGTGGAAGACTCCTTTAAATCCTGCCTGTGGAGAAGGGTTATCATGCATGCCTATGAACTTTGAGATTTTTTTTCCTCTTTTGCAGGTGCAGATTTTTTTTTATTTGTAAGACCTTGCTCTTGTGTGTGTGTGTGTGTGTGTGTGTGTGTGTGTGTGTGTGAATGTGCATATGATTTGCCAGGATTTTATTTACAAGGCATGCCACAAACAGCTGCATTTTAAATGATATTAAAGCTTTTAAATGTGATCTCTGGAGCTAAGAACCCGGAACTCTCTGCACTTCTGTCCAGAAAGTTAGAGTGAAGTTTGATTTGCTCTTCCAAACAGCAAAATAGCTCCTTGACGATTCTTGCTGACAGTGCGGATGTGTGTAATTTAAACAAATGCACACTGTATACGGGAAGCAGAGAAGCTAGCAGCTGCCTGTCCAACTTTTTTCTTTTGAAGAAGACTTTGCTGGGCAAAGTCTGGGCTTGGGATTTCACGTCGTACGTAGAGCTCTGATTTTATACTCGGTGTTGTCAAATCTGTAGGTAAACTTGGCTGCCGCGTTCAGCGCACTGACTTCTCGTTTCTGATCCCTGGCCCTCGTTCAAGTTTCCGTTCTCAGCAAAATTATATCCTTCAAGGCTTTTTTCTTCTTCTTTTTCTTTTCTTTTCTTTTTTTTCTTTTTTTTTTTTTTTTCAATTTGCAAGCACTTTTAAGCCGCTGTCCCGGCTCTAGAGGCAATTGCAGGAGGGCTTAGTTCAGCAGAGGTCCCCGGAGGCACTCGGTACCGCCTTCATTTGCTGCTGTCAATACTTCGCCACTAGGACTTGTCTCGGTCAACTTAAGTGGTTTGGGAGTTCAGGACAGACCTGTGTCGGGCACCTGATCGGCCATCCTTCAGACGCCGGCTCACACAAGCCACCTTGCTCTGGCGGCAGCAAAGCCAGCACACAGATACTGTGTGGTCCCGCAGCTGGGCTTGTTTGTTTCCCTGCTCATATTATCACCAGAGAGGCTGTGGAATGTTATCTCCGCGTTGCTTGGGAGTTTGGAAAATTGTCTCCAAATGCACTTTTCCTGCCCCGTGTGCCCAGCCAGCCACGCGCAGTTAACTTCTCCCCGCACCAGCAGTAGGAAGCGGTCGCAGGCAGCAGCGTGGACTTCCGAATGTAACCCGGTGCGGGAAGGTGTCCTGATCAGAGTCACAGCCCGCAGCCTGGCTGCAGAAGTCCGGGCCCCCAGGGACTTGTCAGGGTGGGAGCCAGGGAAGGGGACCCTGGCGTGCGCTGGCCACAGGCACAGTAGGCTCATGGGGGGAGCTGGGCAGCCTGCTGGGGAACGAGTGGATTCTGATCCCAGCTGTGCAATCTGTTCATTGTTCGAATGGACAAAAGGCCGTTCACTCAGGCTCCGGCATACCTGCCTGGGTGTCCAAATGTAACTAGATGCTTTCCCAAACCCCACCCACCACGCAGCACATGTTTTTAAGTCTTCAGTTTTCTATTCACATCAGCCTCATAACACCCACCCTGACCTGCTGTAAAAGACCTGGAACAAACAAAAATGAGTGCACCCACAGTGAGTATTTTCCTCTGACTCCTGCCCTCGCGTTTCACTGGGTTATGTTCATCACAGCCCAGACATCTGGGATCAATTGATATTCCATTTATTTCAGATAGAAAGAGAAGTCTTTGGAAAATATGCATTTGTGAATGATTTTTGAGGAAGGGTGTTCTCTCTCTCTCTCTCTCTCTCTCCTTTCTTTTTCTCTTTTCTTCCTGGTTCTTCCTCCCTTCCTTTCCAACATTACCTTCTCCTCTATTCATTTCTTGTGTGGTTGGCAAAATAAAAGGCCAAGGAAATCATGAACATATGGGGCCACTTGTTTCAAACTTTTAACTCCTAAGCAAGTTCGTTGTTGTGTTTTCTGTTGGGGGACATAATGTGATCGACTCTCTCAGGCTCTGTGGGTGTGCTGGAAAACGCACGAGAGGCTCTAACTTGTCCTAGAACTATAAGTACTGACATTTATCTGACAACATTACTCGGCAGAAAAAAAGAAAGAATAAGGGAAATCCATTTAAATACCTTAAGTTTTTTAAATGGTAGAAGAGATTTCTATATATTGTTGGCCTTAAACGTGTTATTCCAAAGGTAACTGTTAAAAACACAGTGCTGGATTCCGCTAAAGTTCTAAACCCGCTAAACTTATAAGTTTGAGTAGTTGTTCCCTTGGATTTCATAAAACCTGAAGAAATGAAGGCATGTACAGAGCAGGTGCATGGCCTTCAGCATTATCAGAAACTCCACAAAAAAGGAAACAATGGAGAAATGAGTTTAGCGGAGTCAAATACATTCTAGAACTGGCCCGATGCCAAAGTGTGAGATTTTGTTCTGCAAGTCAGTCATTGGTTTGCGCTTCTGTGCAGGGCCATGAAAACCAATTGGGTTCCATTTGTTGAGGCTTCCATTGGAAATGTTGAAGGCAAAACCCTTACTACCTTCTTCCTGTCTAACAGAAATGAAGACTGGGTGACACGTTGCTATCCTTTGGCTTCGTGGGAGTAGAGGGTTTGCACGTGAAGACCCTAACAGGAAATGGAGTGGATGCCCACTTGGGCTTTTGCTTCTCCCTCTGTTTTATGCTCCTTGTTTATGATGATGTGCAAAGAGAGGGTGCTTTTTATCTTCAGCTGTTTTACGAGCACTCACTAAATATTTACCGTGTGTTAACAAGAGGTGGGGGGACTAGGGGTTCCCCCTCAATTGCTGGGCTGAAGTTCTGGCCCCCCAAATGGAAATTTTAATTAAAATGATGGTGCAGACTTTGCCACCGATGGCCAAGCCATTTAGCAGGGAATGCATTGCGGACGAAGAGGGTGGTCAGACAATAAAGGCCTGCGTCTGTTTTGCTGCCAGTGATGGGGTTGAAGGGAACTGCCCCTACTGCGAGGCTCAAAAGCAGCCTCTTTGTAAAATTACAGCTCCCAGAGTCACCCCATGACCTTGTAACAGGGCCCCGCACCTCACATCCTGTGGGCGGCCCTTTCCTGCTCTGAGTGTGGATGCATCTGAGAGAGGGGAAAGCCACTCACCACCGTGGGAGCCCCATCCCGGTGCCACAAGTAGCAATATGGAAAAACTTACTGTAATGGTCACCTTAGCGCTTTCCTACTTCTTGGGGGAAGGCAGAGATTGGAGCCGCAGGAATCCTGCTTTTGGCAGGGCTGCCGCTTGGCCGGGGATCCCAGACTCAGTCCTGCCAACCAGGAGTCCCTGGGTAGCTTTTGCTATAAAATGGATACAGTGACACATAAACCCCTCTGACAGATGAAGTCAGAGTTCCTCCCTCCCTCCCTCCCTCCCTCCCTCTCTCTCTCTCTCTCTCTCTCTCTCTCTCTGTCAACACACACACACACACACACGCACACACACACGTGGGCAAAGACTTTGCAGATTTCAAGCCCAGTGTACTTTATGTGGAAGGGGCTCACTGCACATGTTGATTTGCTCTTGGACTTGAAGAAAGGGGCTTTGGGAGGCTGATGGAGGAGTATTTACTTAATGTTGGGGCTGGGAACACGATACCCTCCAACATGGCTCTGTGGCCTGCCGAGCACTGTGAGCAGAGGGAAAGGGAAGGGCTCAAGCTAAGGCTCTCAAGCCCAGTGTACTTTATGTGGAAGGGGCTCACTGCACATGTTGATTTGCTCTTGGACTTGAAGAAAGGGGCTTTGGGAGGCTGATGGAGGAGTATTTACTTAATGTTGGGGCTGGGAACACGATACCCTCCAACATGGCTCTGTGGCCTGCCGAGCACTGTGAGCAGAGGGAAAGGGAAGGGCTCAAGCTAAGGCTCTCTCTGACCACCTCCTGCCCTCCTCTCTCCTCTCCCCGACCCCGCCCCAAGGCAGGTCGCAGAAACTAGAGCTGCTCCATGCCAAAGTCAGCCATAAAAACCTAGAAATATGGCCCTGACCGCCCCCGCCTTTCTTTGGAAGAGCTGCCCTTCAAGAAACACTATGACCCACTGGGCCTTGCGCCACAGGTCCTAGGACCCTTGTTCCAGAGGGCCCAGTCCTGTACCCAGGACGCAAGATGATGCTACACAGAGCTCCCAAGGGAAACGGGAATAGCCAAGCCCACCGGCCCTTGCCTCAGCCTCCCAGGACCAGTGTACATCTCTCCTGGCCCATCACGTTCCTACCTGGCTGCCCGTGTCTAACTGGAGCAGAGCATAAGAGGCAGGGAGTGGTGCCTCTCTGAAGGCTCTCCTGTCCCACAAAACTGTGAGGAGATGAAATCACTGTGCCTTTCTCCTGCTACCCTGTGCTGTGGCTTAGTGTCTTGGTTGTTGCCTTAAGAAAAGTGAGGGGTGGGGTCACACCTTCCTGCCCCCCTTCCACTGCGTGAGCCAGCTTGCTCTCAAATCCTCATCTTTTTTTTCCTGTTTGTTTCTCTTCTGGAGGTTGTGTTAAATGCAATTAACCAGGTAGGGGATCTCCCTTGCCCTCTCTCTCTCTCTCTCTCTCTCTCTCTCCAAGAACCCCTATAATGATATGCAGCATTTTTACAAATCCTTTTCTGAACACGATACATTCTTCTTAACCAGTGGCCAGGGAATGCTGTTCTGCTTAATTTCAAACCGTGGCCAATAATTGACACATACACTACCTGCGGATGGCCAGCTTTCAGAGCACTTAGATTGACAAAACACATTTTCCACGACTCTGTACTGGGCATCATTTAAATTCTGATCATTTCAAAGTTTTACCAGGATCTCGGAGTGGTGTGAAATCCACCCTGATGCCAGCATCTCTCATTCACACAGCGCTTGTCTGGGTTGGGGTGGGGGAGGACGTGGTCCTGGAGCTAGCAGCAAGGTGGGTGAGCACAGCTGTCTGTGGTCAGGCCCCGCCGCGGTCCCTCGTGCACTTGGCTGCCCCTTCAAGCCAGGTCCCTCCGAGGAAACCCAGCCACCAGGGGAGGAGGGTGTCACCCTCACGCACTGGGCACGCAAGGCCCTGGGCAGCCCGCTGACCCTCGCTCCTCTGCTCCTTCCTCAGGTCAAGATGCACGTGGTGTCCTCCTTACACCTCTTCTACCTGGCCCTCTGCTTGCTCGCCTTCACCAGCTCGGCCACTGCGGGACCCGAGACGCTCTGCGGGGCAGAGCTGGTCGACGCGCTTCAGTTCGTGTGCGGAGACAGGGGCTTTTATTTCAGTAAGTAGCCACCGGCCAGGAGTGCGAGGGTCTGCGGATTAACCGTCGCAGGGCGCGTGAGGAGGCCACCTCGGCCAGCCTCTCAGACCCCGCGGGCTCCGGCAGGTTGTACAGATTTCGGTTGGAATTGTCTTCTTTCAAATTTGCCTTTACTCCCGGTGCAGCCCTCCTTCTGGTATTAGGGAAGCCTCTCAGTCGCTCTTGTGCTCCTGTCGATGAAAGGAGAGGACAGATGACCTGGGACACAGAGGACTTGGTTTTCCAGGCCTGGAAGTGTGCACAGGGACCTGTGAAGCCCACGGGTCTGTTCTGAGGGCTCCATAGCACAGAGTGGGACAGCAAGGGCTCTGCATTGGTGAGCCTTGGGCAGAGAATTAAGGGGCACATTCTAGATGCTTCCATGCTATGTGAAGTCACCAGAAACAGACAGGAGGCAGCTTCTGCTCTAAGACAGGTTTGCAAATAAACACACAGGCTTTCTGTACACCCAGACTGTGATGTCACCGCCAACATGTCCTGACCTTGGTCCTTTGTGTCCCTGCTTTGCTTTGGCAGAGCCCTTGTGCGGGACTTTCCAGGGATGTCTCCATCTGGAGAAGGGTCTTTGACAAGCACAGAGGCACCTGTCTCATAAACGGGTCCCGGCCGACAGCAGTAACAATAGACAGCTGTGTACTCCCGTGCCTGCGAACAAGTCTGTGTGCCTGAGGGAAGGGGCCGCTGTGCATTACAAGGCAGTGATGATGGGAGCCGGGTGCTCTCTCCATGTCACTGAGCCCGAGCATGAGTCATCCCTCAGGTGCACACGGCACACCTCAGTCACCGCCCAAGCTCTGACCAGCTCCTGTGGTGACTGACACTCGAAATCTCTCTCGTCTTCCTGCCAAATGTCGGCCTCTCTCTAGTCAGAGGGAGCGGGCACACGCGCACGTGTGAGTGTGCGAGTGTTAGTGTAAGAGTTGAGCGAGGGAGTGTCTGCCCGTCTGGAGATGAGTAGGAAAGATGAGGAGGAGGAAGCTTGGAAGGAGGCTGAGAATCTGAGCTTACCATGGATTTGGCAAAAAAGGACAAGAGTCCGAGAATCAGAAGTACTTCCGACTGTCTGCGTGGGCAAACTCCCACTCTACTTCTAGCCCAAGGTCTGACTGAGTGGATTCCTGCACTTGTGTGCAATACAGCAGCTCCATCCTGTTCTCTGCTGCAAGGCAGATGTGGAGTTCATGGGCTGGGGCTTTTCCAGTAGCAGATTTGGCTTCACTTTGCAACACCCTATGGAAAGCAAGCCAGGGGCAGCAACGTGACCCCAGCAATGGGCCATTGTTACTGTAGAATTTGCTGCTACCAATCCATATATCTCTAAAAATGAAAAAGTCATTCTCCCTGATTGTCTCCACAAGGGCTTTTTTTTTTTCCTTTTTTGTTCAATTTTCCTTCATCCAGTTCACTAGGTAATTGCACAGCCTGAAAGTACTCTGTTTTGTGCCAGGTTAAATTGTGATGTTCTACATGATGTGTGCTCCAGGGTTTCTACACACGGAGCGTGGAAACTGGATCCTTCTACACCTAAAGCGTTTGTACTAAATGATGAAAAATAAGAATGGAAAGAATGATTTGGTCCTAAGTGACTGTATGATACCCACTATGTTCCCACAGACCCATAATGAGCACGTCTGAGTTCTCTGGGAAACCGATCTCGAGACACTAAAAGTGGCCCTTTTTCCTGTTACTACAATGACCAAATTTTAGGAAATGTTGTAAAATGGTTTTAATAATTTAAAAGGAGAAAGCTATATATAGCAACTCTTGATGCTTCGAGTCTGACTTTGGGTAGGAAGTGGTTTTGTAAATTACAAGTGTGATTGTCGATACTGTTGCTGAGAGTTTTTGTTTCATGTATTCTGCCTTGTAGAAGCCCCAGGTTTATCTCCGTCTGACACAGCACCCAGTGCACGAAAGTATTCTTGTTAGCTTTCTGGCCAACTGGGCAATCATCTTTGCCTAAGACATGCTAGCCCTTTTAACTTGTTTTGCTTTCCTTCAAAACACCACTGGTATCTGCTGTGCGCACGCTAATCTGCTAGGCACAAATGAGATGCCTAGAAACAAGTAAGAGATTGACCCTGCCCTCAAAGGTCTCGTGTGTTTTTCAGAGGTTAAAAGTAGGGCACGGAAGTATCATCAAGTGTCATTAGAGAAAAATGACTGTGGGAGGGTAGCTTCCGTGTGTGATGCTTTTCCTGATATTTTGCCCCACTTTTGCCATCTCCTCCCCTTGGGTAACACATTTCAGAGGGCCCCTGGGTGCCCGCTGGCCTTTGACACCCCGTCTAGTTCAGTGCCCGGCTGAGATAGTAGCTGCTGCTGTTTGATTATCAAACTGACAGGATGGAGTCCAATTGCCATCTAATGGAGCACTTGTCTGAGCTCTGAGTCTTAAGAACCATCAGGGATCAGGGCCCTCAGGCAGCTTCCGTTGGTCTTCTCCCATTAGCTGACAAAACTGCTTTCCGGTGAACGTAACATGTGCATAGTAACAGTGACCTGAAGGCTGCGTGTGGGTCACCCTTGAGCTATGCGGATGGTCTGTTTTGTGTCGGAGCCAATTATTCTTATAGGCATTAACTGTTGTCAACAAATTTTATTGAGTTTCCTTTTCATCCCCTGAGATTTACTGTGTGTGGAGAAGTCAGCTCTAAGCACTTACAGTCTTTGAAATCCTTTTTGAGGGAAGCCGTCTTCCCCCTCCTGTGATCTGTCGGTTGACACTTATTATTTATTGTTCTCGCTGTTGTTTTTAACGCTTTCGTGTGACCGTGCCTTTTATTTTCAACTCAGTTGTAGAAGGATTTTTCTTCGTAGTAGACAGCAGTTTCTGATCTTAGTTTGAACCTTAAACATTTAAAAGGAAATCATCTTCATCACTTACTCTTTGTGTCAATGCAGAATATTTAACCAGGAGAGTTTTCTGAATCCTATTAGAATGGCTCTGAATTTAAATCTTTGGTAATGTTTATTCTGTATAGACTGACCCAAAGTCATGAATAAGCTCGTATTTCCCTTCAAGCCCAAGTTTCACTGGCGCATAGGAGAAGCAAAGTTCCTATCTGCTCTGGGAACATCTCCCCAGCAGACAAGGAAGAGTTCACCTATAATTAAAGTAGCTCCCCAGACAGCTTCCGAAATGGAGGATCCAATGAAGAGCTAATGACTGATTCTTCCACCTGCATCACGGCGAGAGCCTATCAGTCGTGGGAGGACAGCGTGGGTCTTCCCAGGATGGAAGACACAGCAACCAGCTGTTCCCCCACCAGCCTGGTGGGGTCCAAGTGCAGGGTGGCTCCCTGTGGTCTCATGAAACACGAAAATGGTAAAAGGAAATGGGCGAAGTCACACATGCTGTAGGCATCATTTTTGACTGCTGTGGCGATGAACCATTTTCACGTAGTGTTTAAGAGTTTGTGGAATTTTTGTCCTTGGAGATATTTTTAAAAATTGATGGACAAACAACCATCTTGGATGGTTTCAATTAAGAGCAACCCCCCAAAAGAGAGTTTCTGAGGTCCCTTTTAGTTTTAAGAGTCTATAAACAGTCCCTTAAATAAGCTGTATATGCTTTACCTCCGGCAGTCTGGGAAAAGGAGAAGTAAATCAATTAGAAAAGAAAGTTGGATACTCTTTCGGCCATTTCAGATTTATGGCTTTTATGAAACATACACCCAATGCATAGTTATTAAGAACAGGTTTGAATAAATGAATGACATTCTTCATGTGTTAAAACATACTGTTTTTAAAGAGTTTAAGTGAAACTTTGCAATTAACTTTCATTGTTATTGATTGCATAAACCTCCCTAGATTTAGGTTATTATTATTAACTCAAGCCTCTTGCTTTTGATATATAGTACTCAGAAAACTGCTCCCAGACTTGTCATTCATTAGTCGTCTGACCTTGGCAGGCATTTAAAGTTTCTGGGCTGAAATGTCCTTATATATGAAACAAGGGGATTTTGTTAAAGTAAATGACCTAACCCTAACAGACCAGTACACTGGGTTGTAATTACCAAGGCTGCAGTGCTTGGAGAATGTTGGACTTAAGTAGTGACCAAGAAATACTTAGCTACCTTTATCTCCTTTACATAGCTCCTAATGGTCTCCAAAGGTAGGCAATTCTACCCCTCGACGAAAGAGAAGCCAACTGCTTTGTTTTGTTCAAACTGGACTCCAACTCCTCCAGGATGGAACAGAAACTCAGAAGAAAACCCACCACCACGTTTCTTTGCGAGGCAGGATGACCCAGTGGTTTTCACTGATACATTTTCTCACATTCTTGGCTACGTGGACAAATGCGTAGGTTCATTTTTAAGGTGCCCTTTATTAAGTTACAGGAGACAGATAAGCATCCAGAAATGCCATCAAAAGCCTCTTCCCAGCCTGCTGCTACTGCCATTCCAATTAAAGAAGAGAGTGGGTGTAAGATTTGGAGAATCCAACGTTTCCCTCACCCACCTGTAGCATTGTTTCAGACTAAGCTGGACTTGAGCTGCACCATTTGTATTCTTTGGACTGGCATCCCTCAGGCGGATAGGCATACGTTCGAATGAGTGTGGGCCAAAGTTAGGGGTTCAATCACTAGCTGTGGAAAAGCCATTCTCTTTGAACCCAACTGGTACATGTGGCGATTGACCTTATAACCTTAGCCTCATTAGTACCACAAAGCTAACAGGCCACAGACATCAGTAAAGAAAAGCACTGGGTTTTTATATTGACCCTGAGTGCTTACTACTACTCTTTAAATATCCCCAGGATGACCAGTCTGTGTATGTCAGAAAATGAAGGTTTCTGTGGAATGCTAGAGAGTAATTCTCATTTCCATGGCATGTTAATGCTTTTTAAGGCCATCTTCTCTGACGGAAAGCTATAAACGAGAGAAGAAAGAGTCTAAGACCAAGAGCATGGACTCTACTGTCAAGTGTCCAGGGTGTGAACTCCAGCCACACAACCTA